CAGATGAACACTATCTCCAAGTCATGTCCTTAAGAAATCTTCCAAAGATCTGAGCATAAGAGAGACATCGGGCCCTTCAGTTTATCTTCAGAAAAGAAATGGTCAAAGGAAGGGTGGCTGCCAAGAAGCCATTATTAAGGAACCAGGGAGGGAGGGCCAAGGTGTGCCACATTACACAAAGAAATGGACTAAAAATGAGTGGCAACAGGTTTGGCAACAGATAAAAATTTTGACAAAAAGACTTTAGCACAGTCTTGTACGATGTCAACATTAACTTAATAATAACTAATTAATTAATGACTTTGACCCGTCCTATACGTGGCTCATTCGGGACATAACAAAGAAGGGAGATCCACACAGAAACAACTTTACCAGGGTGCAAACTGACAGAAATGCACCAGCCTTCTGGGAAGAGGGAGACCGGCATCTTGGAAAGAGACCACCTTGTACAGGCATCAAAACAGGTGAAGTCTCTTCTTTAATGGATAGCAGGAGGAGGTGTTAATGAGGACCTGAACAAGAGGAAACATCAAGGCTGTATAATCCATAACCAACACCCACCCCCCTTAAACAGGGTCTTTGGAACATGATACTTGTGAAAGTACGTCAGCCTTTACATTATCTCAATGTAATGTTACATTGGCTTACAGCTAATATAAAAGGCCGAAGGAACGACAACCAAGCTACCAGTTGCTGTTTCATATGCTGTTAATGGGTGATGATCTGTATAAACAGTTACTGGCAGTGATGATCTAACACACACTTCAATGCCGAAATAAGTGCCACTGTTTCCTTCTCGACCACTGAATAGTTAAGCTGCTGCTAGCTGAATCAGCGTGAAAAGAAGCAGACACACCAAGGCCGAGGCGTCACTCTCCTTAAATCAGCTTTATTTTACATCTGTTTTAACTTCTTGACAGTACCTACCCAGCACCGCACAGTAAACAGGCTCAAAGTTAACGACCACCTGTTGAACATAGTGGAACATTTAGCAGTTAATGAGACAGACATTTCCCTGAGGATGCAGGCAGAGAGAATATTGGGTTTATTGTTGTCAGCTGAGTATATGATAATGTTGCTGTTTTTTTGTCTGACAGAAGATCAAACAGGCCAGCTGTTACCTAAAATGTTCATAGTGATATTTCATCAATATGTTTAACAGTTAATTTAGGTTTAAGAGAAAGTAAAAAAAAACCCCAAAGCATAACTCAGACTGAGAAGTCAAAGTGCCGGCGTATGCAGCACGTCACTTATTACCTATAAAATGGATTTTTATTGCTGTAAAATGAGCTGAGTGTCAGACTTTAGATTACTAAAGTTTTGCAGTTAATTTAAAATGCAACAGAAAGAGCAAGCACATTTGAAATTCAATAATTCCTAATCATCTTGGTCTAGAAGTGCTAAAGTGCTTCAAGGAATTTAAGTAGACAGTAAAAAAAAATAAAATAAAAGCAGCATTTACACAAACCTGAATTCTGAGCTAACTTCATTAAAACACTGTAAGCTGCAGCGAACGGGATTTTCATAAGACACTTTCCCCCCTTTATGGAGTACAGGCGAAGAAGAAAAGGCAGATGCCTGATTACCAAATGAAAGAGTCTGATGTGATTTTTTTTTATGTACATTTCACCCTTCATCACAGGCAGTGAAACACTAGCCTTGAAGGCTGGAACATCTAACAAGGTAAGATGATTCACTGCCAGCATCTTTTCTCTCTTTCTCACAGAAAGAATCTGTGTTTTTAACACTAGTGCGGTCTTCCATCAGGCCGTCACCACCGCTGAGCAATTCGTAGCTGGAAGCACGAGTCTTTGCACAGAGAATTTTATTTGCTTAAATTATCTCTTCTAAGTCAGCGTTTGTCTGTGTAAGACAATTGTGTGGCTTGAAGAGATCAATAGAGGTCATGAAGACAAGAGCGCTCCTCTGATCCCTCTTTTCTTTAGCAACCTGCTCCCATTAATCACGACCACATTGCCCCAGATGATGCTCTGAACTCCTAGAGCATCACGTCATCATGCCGTGACACTGATGCAGGCTGTTGGGAGATGTAATTGAAGCAAATTGAGTTGCGGTAACATATGTTTCCTAGTTTTAGGACAAAAGCAAACAGAGAAATTGAACAATCACCCTGCCTGCAGACTTGGACTATGTGTCTTCATCGATTGGGTTTTTGTCTAAATTAAGTAGTCAATATACTTTTATTTGACAAGAAAATTGCATAATATAACAATCACAATGGATTGTTTCAAGGAGCTATCGCACCAATACCACATCTTCAGGTGTTTCTTTTTTCAAAAGAAAGGTTTAGTATTTTGGGAAATACGATTCTGTGAGCATTATCATCTCATCTAAGGCAAGAAAGCAAATAATACTCGCAAAATGTCAGACATTAGAGTTTAAAAATAAACCACATTCAAAATGCATATAAGTGTTATTGACTGCGCATGCATAAATTGGATTTAGATTCTTTTTTTTTTAGCCATTTTTAGTTCAGTTTTAGCTATGCTTCTTATTTTGCAAGCACATCCTGCAGTTGACTAATAAATATAAATAGTTTACAAAAACTAAGTAGAAGGTATTGCCTTTCCTTATGAAATGGAGTGGAATAAAAACCCCTCAGTAGAAGTTAAAGACTATAAAAATGCACTTCCATGCAAAAGAGCATGCCCACAACCCTAGAAATCTCATCTCTGTTTCATTGCGTCGCAATTACTCTTTCATCGATTGTCATTGGTGCAGCTGTTAGCTGACATCACAAATTATAGTGGTGCTTTGTGGTCTGGTGGAGACATTTATTTCAGCTTCTGATCGGCACAAATCAAAAGGAAACATTTTGCTGTCGGCTTAAATACTTTAATCACCCTAAATATGGTGCTATTTCCCTCTTGTCTTTTAAATTTAAAGACTCAATTCTTGTAAAAAAAAAAAAAAAGCCCCATGGCATAGTAAAATTAGATCAATAAATGTCAACAGTGAACAATAAACTGCTTGTGGTAATTGCTGAAAAAAACCCCAACTGATTTCCTCGGTTTGGGTAGGACATTGGAGTGGATTCTTTGTTTGTGGCGGTTGGAAGAGATGAAAGAAGGTCTTTTATGCTTCCTAACAAGCTTGTGAAAACAGTCAATGCTGCTGTAGTCACCACACTGAAGCCACAGCATGTTATATTCTTAGTTCGAACAGATAAAATATTGATAATACAATCTGGAACATGAATAAAAGGTAGGAGGCACAGCTTGGTTCCAAAGTACAATCAGCAATCTTGTTTTGAATACAAAAACCTTGGTGAGTATGGAAGTTCAAAACTGTTCTCAAGCACTTTTCATTTTGTTAAAGTTTTGTTGACGCAGACTGTTTCAGGCTCTTTATTTCATAGTACTCTGGAAGTGTCTCACAGAAACAGATCATCCTTCAGTTTTTTATGTTCTTTTCATTCAGGCACACTCTTTAAGTAATACAACTCACCAGCCACGTTGTTGGCTTCAAGTGCTCATCAGCTTTTTATTGCAAATATCTAATCAGCCAGTCACATGGTCGAAACTCAGTGCATTTAGTCGTGTAGACATGGTCAAAAGGTTTAAATTAAGTTTCAGAATAGGGTTGAAAGGTGATATAAGAGATTTTGAACGTAGCACGGCTGTGCTTGTAGGGTTTACAGAGAACGGTTTGAAAAAGGAGAAAATATCCAGTGAGCAGCGTTCCTATGGGTGAAAATGCCTTGTTTGATGCCAGTTGTCAGAGTAGAGTGGTCAGTCTGCTTCGTGCTGTTGGGAAAGCAACAGAAACTAAAATAACTACTCCGTATGACCAAGGTATGCAGAAGAGCATCATGTTAAACACTGAAGCAGGTTGGGTACAGCAGCAGAAGGCCACACTGG